TTCGAAATGGAGTTTCGCTATTGTTGCCCAGGCTGGAGCGCAATGGCGTGATCTCGGCTCACTGCAACCTCTGCGTCCCAGGTTCAAGCGATTCTCCTGCCTCAGCCTCCCAAGTAGCTGGGGTTACAGGCATCCGCCACCACGCCCAGCTAATTTTTTGTATTTTTAGTAGAGACGAGGTTTCCCTATGTTGGCCAGGCTGGTCTCGAACTCCTGACCTCAGGTGATCTGCCCATCTCATCCTCCCAAAGTGCTAGGATTACAGGTGTGAGCCACCGCGCTCGACTATATCGTATCTTTCAAAGGCAATTTTGGGCATTATACTTCTGTTTCAGGTTGTTTTTAGGTGCAAGTACAGAATAGCGGTTCAGAATACAGATCCTGGAACCAGGATCTGTTATGGCTGAATCTGTCTTTGCCATGTACTGGCTGTGTGACCCTGGACAAGTTACATAAACACTTGTGATTCAGTGCTCTCTTTTGTGAAATAGAGCAAATAACAGTACTACCTCACAGTTGTGAAGATCAAGTGTATTAATACATGGTAAACACTCAGAACACTTCTGGACACATAGTAGTCAGTATTTTCAAGCAAAAGAAACTCAACTTGGCTTGGTATGGTGGCTCAGGCCTGTAATCCCAGCACTTTGGGAGGCGAAGGTGGGTGGATTGCTTGAGCTCAGGAGTTCAAGACCAGCTTGGGCAAAATAGTGAAACCCTGTCTTTACAAAAAATACAAAAATTAGCTGGACGTGGTGGTATGTACCTGTAGTCCCAGCTATTTGGGAGGCTGAGGTGGGAGGATGGCTTCAGCTCAGGAGGCAGAGGTCGCAGTGAGCCAAGATCGTGCCACTCCACTCCAGCCTGGGTGACAGAGCCAGACCCTGTATCAAAGACAAGAAAAAAAAAGAAAAAAAAAAAAAAAAGAGAGAAGAAACTCAACTTGACAATACAAAAGAAATGTGTATCGGATCTCATAATTGCAAACCTTCAGAGATACAGCGGGTCAGACCTCTCAAGGTTTCCCTACAGTTTTCTTTTTTTTTTGTTGTTGTTGTTGTTTTTGTTTTTTTTTTTTTGAGAGGGAGTCTCCCTCTGTCACCCAGGCTGGAGTGCAGTGGCCAGATCTCAGCTCACTGCAAGCTCCGCCTCCCGGGTTCACGCTGTTCTCCTGCCTCAGCCTCCCGAGTAGCTGGGACTACAGGCGCCCGCCACCTCGCCCGGCTAGTTTTTGTATTTTTTAGGAGAGACGGGGTTTCACCGTGTTAGCCAGGATGGTCTCGATCTCCTCACCTTGTGATCCGCACGTCTCGGCCTCCCAAAGTGCTGGGATTACAGGCTTGAGCCACTGCGCCCGGCCCTCCCTACAGTTTTCTTATTCAGATTTCTAGGACTCACATCCCTCAGTTCAGAAGAACAGAGGCTGCTTTCCTACCTCCAACCAGTAAACAAAAGGCACAGGCTGTCCAACTGGATGAATTTAGGTCATGTGCCTGCCCCTGAACCATTCTCAGTAGCTGAGAGAATGCCTCACAGTGATTGGTTTAGGGGTGAATTCCTTCCACATTCTTGCATTTAGGGGGATGGGATTATGCTGATTAAGAGTAGGTGCAACCCTTTATGAACTCTGGCTGCTATACAATGAATGAGACTGGCATTAATGACTGCAAGAATGGACAATTTTGGTGTTTGAATTTATTTATAGTAAGAAATAAACCATGACAACTTTTCTAAAATGTAATCTTTTAGAACACAAAAAAATTGCAGAAACAAAAATGGCCCATAATCCTGATGCTCTGTTGACCATCTTTGTTTTGTTTCTTCGTTTGAGCATATGGCAAAAAATGCGAAATTCAGAAATGTGTAACGAGCATAGAATGTTACTGGAACAATTGACAAAACTTGAACACAGACTACATACTAAACAACAGCATGAAATTTCAGTTTTTCTGAATTTGACGACTGCAGTGTGGTTATGTAAGAGAATGTCTTTTCTTAGGAGATACACCGTGAAACAGAGGAAAAAGGACATGATTCTGAAACTCTCAAATGTTTCAAAAAGTAACATATTGAAATCACACATAGGTACACATGTGCATAGGTATACATATATATGTATAGAGACAGCAGTAGCAAATGTGGCAAAATGTTAACATTTGGCAAATCTGGATAAGGATTTGCAATTCTGCTGCATTCGAAATTATTTAAAAATACAAAACTTGAGTATTTGGAGAAACAGGAATAAGAAACGTTTTGTTACCATATTTGCGGCTTCTATACAGTCTTTTACGACGCAATTGAAAAAAAAAACTAAACTAAAAAATATAACATAAATCTTCCCTCCCATAGTGGCCAGAAACCCCTGCCAAGTTCTTCGGATATCGTAACAGGAAAAAAATGCAAAGCAATATGTCTTTCTATAAAGATTACTTATTTACTAATTATCATTTTTTAATTTGCATGACGATCAACAACAAAGTTTTTTTAAAATAATGACTTTGAGAATCATTTTGCGGTATTTGTTTAAGGCTGTCGCCCAGGAAAACGCCCAGGGACCATGCGCGCTTCAACCCAGTGGAAACACGAACGGCCCAGGGACCGCCCCTTCGCGTTGCTTGACGGGATCTGGAGTCCTCCCGCTCCGCCCGGCCAGGCGCTCGGGAACCGCCCGTCCGCTCCCTCATCTCGCGATGCCATCCTCCTTTTTTTTTTTTTTTTTTCCCCCCTCCCACTCGCCCCTAAGCCCTATGACTCCCTCCCCTCTCAACGTGTTTTTCAAATCCACCAATGGGAACACAGCTTGGGCTCGAACCAGCCAATCGGAATGCGGAGTCACCGGGAAATTTAAATCGCGCCGGCCGGCTGCACGAGCCACACGGTCTTTGAGCTGAGTCGAGGTGGACTCTTTGAGCGCAGCCGTCCTACAGCCGCTGATTCCCCGCATCGCCTCCCGTGGAAGCCCGGGCCCGCTTCGCAGGTACAGACTCAGGCGGCGGCTCGGCCCGAGCGCTAACGGTTTGCCCGCGGGCGGCGTTCGCCTTTGGGTGGGGGGAAGGAGGCCCCGGGTCCACGCCGAGCCTGGCTCAGCCTCCCGCGTTGTCTAGGCCTCGGGGGCGACTGGTTCATTGACCAGGCGGCTGAGTTTCGCGAGGTCTGCGGGTTTAGGGCGCCGACGCTCTTCAAATGGCAGCGGAGACCATAACGCGTCGCGGCCGGGAGAATCGGAGCGAGCCAGGCCTGAGGGCGAATGTCCCGGGAGGGCTCGTGGCGGCCCTGGCCTCGCTTCCCCCTTTCTCGTTGCATCTTCCCCTACGTAGGGGCAGGGGCAGGGGCAGGGGCAGGGGCTGGGGCTGGGGGTGGCAGTTGGGAGCACCGTCTCTGACACTTTGGCCCCGGGGTGGCTGTGCCACCAAGTCGTAGGCGAGCGTAATGAAAGCAAAGATAGCAAATTGTAAGGAGGGCTTTGACTTTTGTCGTCTTCTGAATGACGCACAGCTGATGTCGTCCTAATTAAGTGCATTCGCTCCTAGTCTCTGGAAATGCAAATCAAATATGCGACATGCGGCACTGCATTTTTAATGTTGACCATAATGTAATGATGAAGCAAATTTTTTTTAGTTTTCGAATCTGCACCTATTTTGGCCAAGTAAAGACAGTAAAGTAGTGCGAGCCTCCTGAGAATCTGAATTTATTGCCCTGGCACATAATTTTTAGCTGTAAGTTAACTTGATTCCCCTACTTTGCCTTGGATTAACTATTAGGGACTCTGGAGTATCGAGCCAGGCTGTCAGAAACGGTGGACACACGTGGCTAGTCCGAATTGAAATACGCTGTAAGCTTAAAGTACACAAAAGACTTCAAAGATGGAGTATGGAAAAAGAATGTAAAAGATGTCAGTTATTTTATATATTGAAATATATATGTTGAAATACTATTTGGATATGTTGGGTTAAATAAAATAAATTATTGAAATTAGTTTCACTTGTTTCTTTTCGCCTTTTAAAAAGTATGGCTACTAGGAAGTTTCAATTTATATAGCTTACATTCTATTTCTGATGGACAGCCCTCTCCAGGAAGTCTCAGCCCTTCAGAGGGAAGGGGGACAGTTCCCCTTTGGGTAAAGCTATTTCGTAGTGCTGAAAACATGATGATCCCCCCTCTAGTATACAGGTGTGGATTCAGTAGATGCTTGATAATTCAATTCTTATTTGGTACTATTATTGACAAAGGAAAACGATAAAGGAAATATTTTTCTCTTCACCCATCTTTTAGCTTTCTCCCTTTGTCTCATAACCATGTCCACCAACGAGAATGCTAATACACCAGCTGCCCGTCTTCACAGATTCAAGAACAAGGGAAAAGACAGTACAGTGAGTACTTTCTGTTGCTTTCCTGTGGTGGTGTTTAAATGGGAGGACATTTGGAAAGGGGTGAAAACTTAGGGATCTTTTTAAAAATACCCTCACTTAGCAACAAAAACTGATGTGATAGGTGAAACGGCATGTTATCTTTTCTCAAGGAAATGAGGCGTCGCAGAATAGAGGTCAATGTGGAGCTGAGGAAAGCTAAGAAGGATGACCAGATGCTGAAGAGGAGAAACGTAAGCTCATTTCCTGATGATGCTACTTCTCCGCTGCAGGAAAACCGCAACAACCAGGTAAAACATGTATTTTGGTTTATGAGTTACGTGAAATCCAGAAAATCAGTAGGAACTTTTCTTAGAAATTCAAGTAAACCTAACATTTTTAGCCTTAGGTTGTAACTATCTGTGAGGATCTTTTTCTCTGTTCCCAATTAGTAATTGTCTTCTTTCCTGCCTTCCATAATCCACTGAAGCTGATTTAGGATCTTCCTTTAGCTCTGACCTTCCTTCAGACTTCCCTGCATTTCTAGCTGCTAACTGGGTACCTTGACCTGACCACTGTGTCCAGAGCCAACCAGTTTTTGGTTTATTCTTTTTTTTTTCCCCCTAGACGGGGTCTCGCTTTGTTGCTCAGGCTGGAGTGCAGTGGCACAATCTTGGCTCACAGCAACCTCTGCCTCCTGGGTTCAAGCAATTCTCCTGCCACAGCCTCCTGAGTAGCTGGGATTAGGGGCACGCACAACCATGCTTGACTAGTTTTTGTATTTTTTTGTTGTTTTGTTTTTTTGAGTTTCCCTCTGTCGCCCAGGCTGGAGTACAGTGGTGTGATCTCAGCTCACTGCAAGCTCCACCTCCCAGGTTCACGCCATTCTCTTGCCTCAGCCTCCCAAGTGGCTGGGACTACAGGCACCTACCACCCCGCCCAGCTAATTTTTTTGTATTTTTAGTAGAGACGGGGTTTCATCGTGTTAGCCAGGAAGGTCTCGATCTCCTGACCTCGTGATCCACCCGCCTTGGCCTCCCAAAGTGCTGGGATCACAGGTGTGAGCCACTGCCCGGTCTGTTTTTATATTTTTAGTAGAGGCAGGGTTTCACCATGTTGGCCATGCTAGTCTTGAACTCCTGACCTCGTGATATGCCTGCCTTGGCCTCCCAAAGTGCTGGGATTACAGGCGTGAGCCACCAGGCCCTGCCCGTTTTTGGTTTATTTCTGCCTTTTTTGGTATTCTCTCTTTTTTTGTATTTGTCACCAGCTTTGTTCAGGACTTTCCTTCTGAAATATTTACGGTAGCCTCCTAAGTTATCATTTCCTCCTTTCTGTGCCATATATTATTTTCCTGAAATTTTTCCTAAAGTACTGCCTTAGACATGTGTTTTCTCTCCTCAAAATCCATCCTCCAAATTGCTTGAACCTGGTAGGCGGAGGTTGCAGTGAGCCAAGATCGTCCCATTGCACTCCAGCCTGGGCAACAATCGAGGAAAAAAATAAAAATAAAAAAATTCATATTCCAGCTGGGCATGGTGGTTCATGCCTGTTCATGCCAACACTTTGGGAAGCTGAAATGGGAGGATCACTGGAGGCCAGGAGTTTGAGCCCAGCCTAGGCAACGTAGCAAGACCTTGTCTCTATAAAAAATAAAGTTAGCTGGGCATGGTGGCATTGGCCTTTAGTCCTAGGTATTCAGGGGGCTGAGACAGAAGGATCACTTGCCAGGATTTTGAGGTTGCAGCGAGCTATGATTGTACTACTGTACTCTGTGCTGGGTGACAGTGAGACCCTATCTGTAAAAATAAAAATCCCTGCTCCATGAAGGCCTTCCATAAAGTAGACCTATCTTAGATTTTCAAATTTATCTTTCATCTGGGCACTTTCCTACATCTTTTTCTCACAATATGCTTCCTTTTTTTTTTTTTTTCTTAAGATGAAGCCTTGCTTTGTTGCCCAGGCAGGAGTGCAAGGCACCATCTTGGCTCACCACAACATCCACCTCCTGGGTTCAAGTGATACTCGTGCCTCAACCTCCGGAGTAGTTGGGATTACAGGCATGTGCCACCATGCCCAGCTGATTTTTGTTTTTTTCCAGTAGAGACGGGGTTTCGCAATGTTGGTCAGGCTGGTCTCAAACCCTGACCTCAGGTGATCTGCCTGCCTTGGCCTCCCAAAGTTCTGAGATTACAGGTGTGAGCCACCACGCCCAGCCACATTATGCTTCCTTTAGCACTCCACATTTATCTTTTTTTTTTTTAATTGAATACTACCTATGTTCTATATCTAGGGTACTAATACTCAAAGCTCATCTTCTCCTTATAGCACTCCTTAGCCTAGCAGGAAAGACACTTCTTTCTCAGGATTCTCTAGCACCTGGTTCTGCACCCAAAATGGGGAGTAAATGCTGTGTAGCCCATCTGTTTACCACTTGTTTTACGCTGTTTGTCTGCTTGTCACATTTCTTCTGTGAGGCGTCAGGCTCCTGGAGAGACGGGGATACTGTCTTTTTAAATTACGGGTAGCACTGGTTCTCAAACCTTTCTACTGTGATTCACAACATAAATTTTTTTTTTTTTTTTTTTTGATGGGGTCGGGGAATGGGTCTTGAGCTGTTACCCATTGCTGGAGTGCAGTGGTGCGATCTCCGGCTGACTGCAGCCTCCATCTCCTGGGTTCAAGTGACCCTTCTGCTTCAACTTCCCAAATAGCTAGGATTACAGGGGATCATCACCATGTCTAGCTAATTTTTGCATTTTTAGTAGACATGGGGATTCACCATGTTTCCCAATCTGGTCTTGAACTCCTGACCTCAGGTGATCTACCCACCTCGGCCTCCCAAAGTGCTGGGATTACAGGCATGAGCCACTTTGCCCAGCCGAACATAAAACATGTATATTTGCAACAACACTCAACCATGGAAATACACAGGTTATAAAATTAGATATGAAAATCCTCGGCCAGGCGTGGTGGGTCACACCTGTAATCCTAGCACTTTGGGAGGCCCAGGTGGGCGGATCATCTGAGGTTGGCAGTTCAAGACCAGCCTGAGCAACATGGAGAAACCCTGTCTCTACTAAAAATACAAAAAAAATTAGTTGGGCGTGGTGGTGCATGCCTGTAATCCCAGGTACTCGGGAGGCTGAGGCAGGAGAATCGCTTGAACCCAGGAGGCGGAGGTTGTGGTGAGCCAGGATCATGGCACTGCACTCTAGCCTGGGGAGTGAGTGAAACTCCATCTCAAAAAAAGAAAATCCTCAGAACGTTGCCTATAACTTCATGTCTTTCTCCCTCAAAGTATATTGAGACTAATGTAGAAATAATCTTTGGTCTTGTATGGCGACAGGCAAACACCACCATGCCTGGATTTTTTTTTTTTTTGTCGTGGGGAGGTCGTCTCACCTGAGCTCAAACTATCCTCCCTCCTGAGCCTTCCAAAGTGCTAGGCTTACAGGTGTGAGCCACCATGCCTGGCCTTCTAGTTCATTTTTTAAATGGGTCAAAGCTGCTTTTTTTAGCGACAAAACACTTGGATACTCCATAACTTGAGACTCTAGTGAGTCATGACACCGAGTTTGGAAACTGTTCTACATATAAAATAATGAATATTTAACAGGCAAAATTAAATGTAGGGTTAAATATGTAGTAGCTGGCTATAAGCCTAATGATGTTTACACAAGTAAGTGTGGATTTTGTTGTTTGTATTTAAGCTTAATGATAATGTGCAAAATTTCACTTTTCTTCTAGGGTACTGTAAATTGGTCTGTTGATGACATTGTCAAAGGCATAAATAGCAGCAATGTGGAAAATCAGCTCCAAGCTACTCAAGCTGCCAGGTAAGTCTTGTCTGCAATAGCATGGGTAGCCCAAGAAATTCAGGTTTTTAGATTTTTTTTTTTTTTTTTGGGTGGGGGCAGGAAGGGACAGATAGTGTGTAAGGAAAGATTAGGCCAGCCAGCCATACGCCAAATAGTATTTTTTATTTATTAATTTTTTTGAGAGAGGGGCCTTGCTATTTTGCCCAGGCTGGTCTTGAATGCCTGGGTTCAAGCAATCCTCTCACCTCAGCCTCCTGAAGTGCTGGGATCATAGGTGTGTGCCATTGCACCTGCCCATAAAATTTTTACCAAAGTAATGTTTCAGGTCACTGGCGGGGAAAGGAAGAAATAAATAGTAAGTGGGATTGAGACATGCATTTAGAATGATAGATCCATTTAGGAGATCAGTATAATTTGACCTTTACCTCCCACCATACACAGATATTTATGATATGATAGAAAGGATTAATAAGTTCTATAGCTTGAGAGTGTGCGGAATAACAAATTTCAATGGTAAATTATCATTAAAAAGTTCTAGGCTGGGCACTGTGGCTCATGCCTATAATCCCAGCCCTTTGGGAGGCTAGGGGGCGGGTTACTTGGGCCCAGGAGTTTGAGACCAGCCTGGGCAATATGGTGAGACCCCGTTTCTACAAAAAAAATTATTAGTTGGGTGTGGTGGCACATGCCTGTAATCTTAGGTACTCGGGAGACCCAGGCACGATAATTGCTTGAACCCAGGAGGCGGAGGTTGCAGTGAGCTGAGATCTTGCCACTGCACTTCAGCCTGGTGACAGAGCAAGACTCTGTCTCAAAAAATAAATAAAATTACCCGGGTGTGGTGGTGTGCGCACTTGTTGTCCCAACTACTAAAGAGTCTGAGGTGGGAGGATCACTTGAGCCCAGGAGGTGGAGGCTGCAGTGAGCTGTGATCATGGCACTGCACTCTAGCCTGGGTGGAGTGAGATCGTCTCAAAAAAACAAAATGTAGCCGGGCGCGGTGGCTCAAGCCTGTAATCCCAGCACTTTGGGAGGCCGAGACGGGCGGATCACGAGGTCAGGAGATCGAGACCATCCTGGCTAACA